ACTGGATAAGTCTGACTTCTTCCTACTCCATTCAAGCATGTATTAGGTATAAGCAAATTGTTATTGGATTGTGTGTAAAAATGTGTGTTGTTATATCAACTGTTTTATATGCTTGAAAGAATAAATCAAATCAAATCAAAATCAAATCCAGGCTTATGTGATCCTAGCTAGCTAAACTGACCCCTTTCTCAGCTATCCTGGCTCTACAGAATTGACTTCATGTCTCAACATATAGTCATTTTTGATTTACTCTGACAATTTCAAATTTTCCACAGCCTAAAAATCCAGGTTTATGTTAAAAGTGCCAAAAATCTAACCTAACAGGTCCTGGTGTGAAGAGCAGAGCCCAGTGTTCCACCCACCCTGGTATCCAGAATGTACCCTATAACACAGCAGCTAACTTTATGACACTTCAGTATTTACAGCTGTGGCTGTGATTCTATTTCGCTCTACGTAGACTTAAACAGGGCAAGTGACTACTACTACTTTATGGTTTTACTATACTGGATCAATCTAAAATTAGAGACTATAATCCTCTCTTCACCCAAACACCATAAAGGACAGCAGCCTCTCCAGTCAAATCTTATTTTAGATATTTCATCTGGATACATTTCTAAACCACTACCCTCCCCCACTGCAGGCCTGCTGGGAAAATGTTTTCCTCAAGGTCTTCACAAGCCCTTGACACAGAGACATGAACAGAATGACCGAACCATGGTCCTTTGATGTTTTTATTAATTTCACTTTCACATCAGTACAGAGACCACATAGTTTTTCTTTTTTCTGCAATATCTTTCCCAAAGCTTTAAAAATTGGAACCAAGTTATAGCTAATACAAAACAGAACTGATTTTAGTGAACAACCTCTAGATACCAGTGAACAGCCAAAAGCAAAACAAGACTCGTCAGAGACAAGTGAGGCCAAACACACTCCTGTCACACACTCCCATAACCAGTGAACATACAGAGGGACAATCAGGAAAAGGAGAAAAGCAACATGCTGTGAGAGAGCAGGTTCAGATGGATTGGACTTTTATTCACATTATATATTAAACTCTAAAGAAATAAACAGACAACAAGTCTTAGTACTGATCTATTTAGCCTTGGCAGCACAATAACATGGCCTTTCCTGAACTGAAGTTTCACTTAAAGGTGCAGTGCATATGAAAAGCTAACCAGCGTTTGCAGGGTGAAGTCCGACCGACAGCATGGGTCAGCTTACATGTAACTGGTTGAACATTAAAGGGTCAGCACAACACAAATACAAAACCTACCTCAAGTTGCATCTAGTCTATTTTTTCTATTTTATTCTTCCAGGATTCAAATGCACAGCTACATTTGCACCCTTTGTCTTATTTGCCTCAATAGATGTTAATGGAATTTAGTTTGTGCAGCTCACTGTGAAAAGTTTCCCTACTACTACTTTCTACCGAAGAAACCGTCTAAAAACTGTTGAATGTTTATCCGGGAAAAACAAGGACACTTTCAACTGTGGAGGTGGAAGCAAACATATTTGAAGACCTGGGCAAATAAAATGGTTACAAATGCAACTATGACGCTTTTAAGTAAGTCCGGTTGACTGGTGTGTGCCGGTGGCAGACACTGTTTTTTGTATTTGGGTTAAGTGATCCTTTGAATAAACAATTTATGGAAACCAAAAATCTATTAAAAATGCACTCTGGTGGTTCTCATGAAATGCAGCCTTTTGAAGCTACAATATGCAGCTTCTTCACGCTCAAATAAATAAACAGGATGCATAATAAGATTATCAGTCTGCTCTCAGGCCCAAGTCCCCCTTTACACTTGCTGTCAGGACTGCAGCCTGCCCAACTGCGGGGTTAGCAGGGGAACAGCTAGCATCTCCCACAGCTATGTTGCATATTTTGGCTTTAACACCCAGTCTGAACAGGACACTGTGCACGAAGAGTCAACCAAGACATCTATGGGGCAATCACAGTGAGATGACACACAGTGGAGGGCATGCATGAGGAGGAATGTTCCACCAGAGAAGACATTCAGCACACAGGCAAATGTCCGACTAGTAGCAGAAGCAGTCAAAGGATGACCTGCCACTGTTGGCCAAACAAGTTCAGGATTCAGGAGACACGTACTCCGTGCAAACGTATGTTAGGGTGCAATGAAATGGACAGTAACATACTTTTTAATTTCTATGTATTCATCCTTTAAAAAAAATATGGAGACATCGTGCTAATATATGACTATGGTTTTACTGAGCTCAGAAACACCACTGAAACAATCACAAGTAATAATCATACTAAAAAAAAAAAAAAATTCAGGGTCAAGAATATGATACAGCCTATGTGAAGGGTGAGAATCAGTTTCCAGCTTACACAACATGTCATGGGCTTCGTAGCAGTCAAAGAACAAAGTGATAAAGCTCTTTAATTAATAACCACTGTGAAAACTGCTTTTTTTTTATTCCCCAGCTACAGTCTTTATGCAAAATGGCACCCCCTAATTTTGTTATATCAACCCCTAATATCTGACATACCTCTCAGGTTGCTGCTGAGCTGTGTACGGGGTCTAAAATGTGCCAAAAGAAGTTATTCTACTGTATTAAATAGGAATAAATATACTGATACATGTAAAAACAAATTGCACTGAGCTTTAAACATGAAGTTTAAAATGTCCTAGTTTTAAAATCACTAGTTAACAAATTTTAAATGTAGTTATTCAATTTACTTGTGTGTCTGTTATATTCCAACATAATTCATGCCTTGCGTTCATTTACATTTTCAATTTGACTTGACCTCTTTAATCTAGATATGTGTAAGATGTGTGCCAGCTAACAAACCGGTTACTAGCTTTATTCTGAACTCTAAAGCTCTGGAAAAAAGATAAGTGCACCTCGTGTCTTCTGTTACTATTCTCTTTGTGTTTGTTTTAGAGTAAAATGTCTTAGCACAATTCTAGACTCCACAGTTAAAAAAACAAAAAAACAACAGCAAGCTGGGAAGACACATTGGGATTTGGGGGTGTGACAACACATCAGGGGGGATATTTCTTCACCCCTCAAACGATTAGGAATCCATTTCTCAGAAGGTCTCTTAAAGACCCAATTTAAAATCATGAGGTTCAATGACACTTAACTCCTACAATGCTGTTGTCAAGCTAATAGGGAGTCAAAGCAGCCATCCTATAATTAATATCAATAATAGTAAGTAGTGATAAGGAGAATCAAAATTTACAGGTGAATGTGAGATGTCAACACTTTGTGGCTTGAACAGGTGACAGGACTAGTGTAAATGAGGGAACCTTCTGTTGATACAAAAAGCGAGGTTAATGTGTTCCATACAGCAGTTGTCTTAATGTGTATATACATACAGAGTACTGATCCAAACATGCCTCTGATCAAAAGAGGGTGAACTAGACCAAATTATCACGTCTGGCTCAGCGTTCCAATCCTTTTATTTCAACCTGGTCATGGATTTAAAAAAATAAAAGTTCAGTGCATTGCAGAAACATACAAACAGAAATGCCTGTAACGTGAATGGAAGCAAACTCAATAACAGGCCAATCAGTAACAGCCAACCCATGACCAGCTTCTAAAAATTAACTCATATCTATCCATACAGTGGCTGTAGAGCAAGAGAGCAGGATAAGACTAGCCACAGTAACACCCACAATGTTGGTTTGTTCCTTTATTTTTATTTTTTTTAAATATCTTTTGTGTTTTTTTTTTTTTTTTCTTTTTACGTTTCCAGCTTAGATTAGCCATTTACCTTCAAGGAAATGTGTAGTTTAAAGTACAGACATTAGCTCTTTTGTGACAAACAGCCATCATCCACCTCCTGCTTGCTGTACACAACAAACCAGGTCATAGATTCAGTCTAGTTCACTCGACCCTGCCTCCATTCCCTGTGGTACACCCACGGACGGGTGGGGTCCACCGCAGCATTACATCACTTCCTCGCTAGTGACACACTTCCTGTTTGCACAGGCACATTTCTCTTCTAATGCTTGAAAGTTAAGCTGCGCAGTAGTTTTACATTGAATATTGAGTAGCTCAAAGATTTTCTACCTAGCAAGGTTCAGTGTAGTAGGGTGGAGATGGTAGATGGAGTACGGAGGAGGAGTTAGACTGGGGTGGGGATTAAGTAGAGAGGACTGGGAGAAGGTAAGGGGGTCTTAAGGTGGTAATGGAGATGAGGATGATGGTGATGTGAAGGTTTCCACTGGAGGAGGTTGCTCATTCAGTTTTGCTGCGCTTCATAGCTCCGGGAAGTTTCTCTTGCAACCTGGGAGAGAAAAACACAACAAGGGTGAAATACAATAATCTGTAAAAAGATGATTGTGTCAAAGACCCTTTCACTGAAGATTAGATTCACTTACTTGGCGATTGTACTGTTGACCTGAGTACGTGCCAGGTTGATGTAGTGATCAATCTGGGTCTGGAAGGAAAAAAAACATGAGAAGGATGAATATCATTTAGAAAAATAAACAAAAAACAATTCACTTATCAAGTAGTGAGACCCATGAGCAACTATTATGAGCCATGTAGTCCATGAGAAACCACAGTGACGGTTGTGTTAACATTCTTGGAGGAAAGTCATCCAGTGGGGATTAGACAAAGGTGTTTAATGCAAATTCTATTCTCACACACACATACACAAAAATCTGAGGACTGGAGAGTGGGGTGACCTCAGGATCTCATATTGTGATTCTGCTGGCTTTATCAACCTGTGTGCACACTGGGGAGGCTTGCTGCTGAGTTTGGAGGAGAGTGAGCACCTCTGAGTATTACATGATGGTATGTTCACCCTTTGAGAGTTGAAAACCAGTTGAGGGAGTTCTTCAAATGTCTCAAGATCTTGGCCATGAAAGAGGGTGAGGTAGAGAATAAGAACATGATTCAGATTGATGCAGTTCTCAGTTTACCTGTTGATCTAGGTTCCCTCACTGTGGTAAGGCCTCCTGGAAGCCTTACTGTGTAGGTACTGTGGGCATGTCCAAATGGGAGGACACTCAGGCATGTCAGAACAAATTTAGTAAAAAAAAAAAAAAAAAGTTTTAATGACTTCAACCTCAGCGTATGTAAACTTCTGACTTCAACTGTAAATGTGCTAAAGAAAGGGTGAGCATTCCTTTGGAAGCTCAGTATTCAAATTAAGTGCTGTTTACCCACTATCTGGCCCCAAAAAGGGGGCGTCAGGCCATGGGTCATAAATCTTCAGAGCCCCATAATAAGTCACAACACTTTCCAATCCTAACCTAAAATGTACATACAATCATTTCATAGACCCCTTTATCTGAGACACTATTCTCCAACCCTAGCCTATCGTACCATACATAATCTGCATTATATTTGGTCAAGTTATACAGTGGCTGGCCCAACTGGCTTGGCAGACAAACACCTGAGGGCCATGCAGCCACCGGAACTGTTCTACCAAGACTGTCATTCAAACGAAAACGACCAGGTCGTTTCCTGGTCGGCCAAGACACCAAGTAATAATAATAACAATAATGATATTAAGCTCTAGACCTTACTTTGTAAAGTGTCTTGAGATGACTTTTGTTGTGATTTGGTGCTATACAAAAAAATTAAATTGAATTGAAGTAACAACCCCTCTGAATCTATTCAAATTCTGTGTGGGTGTAAGAGTGAAGGCAGATCTACAAAGTCATCAGGTGGGCTCCCTCTCACTAAGCTCAGTGTGTTCCAGTGCCCCAGGACCACCCCCTCTTTGCCTGCAGCCACCCATCCCAACACAACCCTTTACTATCATCTACTCTCTTAACAGCTCAGGCTGACTATCGCCAACACCAACAAACCCTAGAAAACTTTTCAAATACCGTCCTGACTAAACATAGATAGAATACAGCTGTGCATCATAAACCTTTACCAGCTACATCATGTCGAGCTGCAGTTTGACGTGCCATATTTTTACCTGCTTGACAGTACAGAAGCGGCCCAAATTCCCACCCATTTCACTGTTGGGAGTAATGTTTGAATCTCAGCATGGGACAACTGAGCATTAAAACCAAAACAACCACTGTGAGTGCATTAGTCTGAGCTTTAGTTCTGTGCCAGGACTCGCTGACAAATCTTTTTAAGTAACCATAAACCAATGACAGTCCCAGTAAACTGCATCAAACTGTTAATGAGTGTAATGCCCCACACTTGTAACATGATGTGCATCACTGTGACGCTGACGGCCATGTTGTTGGACCCAATAGTGCAATGACTTCATGTCCTCAGCAACTGGACACTGGACAACAACAACAAAGATGCAGAAAGCCTTCAGTGTCTAGACTAGTCATCCAGTGAGCTCACTGCTGATTGCAGTGTTAGGTAGCCACTGTTGTCACTGCCGCTCTTTGGGGGTGGGGGACTCTGGGACAGAGGGTCACGCACTCACCTTGTTCTTCTCGTAGATCGGAGGCACGGCAAAGAGCAGGATGTCAGCTGGGTGGCACAGAGAAACAAAGACGTGTGAGGATGCTAGATTCACACATTAATGGCTAAATCTGCAGTTTCATATACTGTAAGGCACAAAACACCTCCTCCAGTGCTGTGACAAAGGTCAAACATCTAATGTGCCACGTTGGACTCAGGACTTGCAGTAAGTCACCATTGTAAATCTTGCTGAACCATTCAGAAAAATCTTAAAGCACAATCCAGATTTCATGAAGACTTAAGCCCAGCTGGTCCAGTCGCATGGTGCTCTGACTGTTAAAACATGTGCAGCACAGTTTATTTCCTCAGCCTGAATCGATTTTTTCGATGTTATCAACAGTTTATTTCCTCAGCCTGAATCGATGTTATTGTTTTACTGTCCTTTTGAAAGATCCACTGCATCTAGCTTGGTGCTATGCATGGCAGTCTTATTAGGACTTTCAGTCCAAAACTAACTTAATAACCAGGTATGTCCTGTGTGCATGAGACTGACTTAGTGTTTGTAATATTTTGTCAACTCCCACTGAAGTACAGAGCAGCTCAATGTAACATCAACTCTGCCTACTGTCTCCAGAATGACCACAGGAGTTGACCAATGCACCCCAGCGAACCGATCAATCGGTCTATCACAATCTGTCTAAAACTCTTACATACTGCACCTCTAACAGCATTACTGTGTATCCTTCTGTACGAAACTGTCTTAAACCATAATCTGAATCTGTGGACAGTTGGTTGACCACGTTTTCATTACTGCAGGAGTTAGTCAGTGAACCAGCAGCAAAGACAAAGTGGTTGGTTCACTTTAAACTCAGATGTCCATTTCAATGGGTAAAACAGGAGCAGTCACACTTTGAGACATGATGAATGCGGCATGTTCCTTGGTTGCCGCGGTGCTTACCCAGGATGAGAATGGTGATTCCATTGAAGACAGCTCCTACGTAGGTCAACAGCCACATGACCACAGCCAGCTGGGGAGAGAACAGACAACAGAGGCACACAGGGCTCAGACAGGTGAAGCATCTCACAGGTTGAAGTCTTATCAGAGATCGCAAATCACTTTCAACAATGCAAACTAGTGAAGGTCAGAAAATCTTGTTGATGGGGGATGAATTACTATGTAGGAAGAAGCATGTGAAGCCCACAGCTTATGACATCAACAAAAGCTAAGTAGCGCTAGGAGTTAAATCAACGAAAGCATCATGGAGGTGTGTATTAAAGCTACTTTAGGACGCTAAGCTACTTTGGAAATTGTTTCGTGAGGCGATTTAGATCCCCGTGCGATCTGTCTAATGTGACAATGATTCTGCCCTGTTTGCATTAGCAGGCAGATCCTTGCATCAAACTAAACTCTCCCTTTTCCTCGCTAAGCTGTGTTAACCAATAACCGCAACTGTCTCAACTGCTATTCGGCGCTAGGTGTACAGGGCAGGCAACGTTTGAAAAGTAGTTGCAGGATGACAGAATATCTTTCACCATGTCAAATATGTTGGATTTGTTTTTGAATCAGTTTCTCTTCCTGTCTGCAGCTCGTCACGTGATGGAACACTTCTGCTAGTGGTTAACGTAGTCTAGTGAGTCTGTAGCCTGTTTAATCATTCACTTTAATCTACAGGCCACACCTTTTCACTACTGAAAACGTTTATATAAGAGAAACAAAGCAGCCTTAAACCTTTGTGAACAAGCTGGTTCCAAAGCTGCAACTCGGTGCTCTCCACACCCATGATCCACCCAAACGGGTGTTCTCATTGATCCAACCTCTTCTCAGAGCCGTGACAGTGTGTACAGAATGAACCTGACTGTCAGGCTGCCTGTCTGTCCTGTACCTCTGTTGCACTAGGGAGGGGTGACTTCTACCAGTATTCTCACTGGATAATTTGGTGCCAAGTTCTGGCAGATCCCTGTCCGCCTTACACCTTAGAGGTTTCTCCAGTCTAGATAACTAAAGAGCTCTGTGGCTGTGAGCTGATTTTTTTTAAAGTCTATTTAACAACCTTTCACTGGGGCCTTTTCAGAACCTGAATTTTGGTAAGATGCTCTTCCTTGTGGTTCCACTTTATTGCACAGACTGAGACATTTGCATCTATGTCATTAGATGCAAATGGCCACAGTGGGGCTGTCCTCGTTTTTGTGTTTGTAGGAAAGTGAAGTAATCTTCTGTGGGACATTCAACAACAGAAGACACGGTGCTGCTACAGTTCATTTCTTTCATGTTAACATGAGCTGAGCTACAAGTTTAAGTGCCAGCAGTGCATCCATAGCAGGGCTAAGCTGGAACAAGCTGCTCGGTGGCCCAAAATAGCATCCAAGGCCTTGAAGCACTTTGCAGTTTTTCAGTCTACGCCACTACACACATTTGTCTATATTTCTGTTTATTCTTTGAAATGGATTCCCTGCTGTGATTCGTATCTGAATTTCTGGCAAGCACCAGGCTCTGCGTTTGTTGAAGTTATGCTTTTGTGATGTGAAGACATTTTCTTGACCAACTATGACTTGATTTGAAGTCTGTTTACTCATCAGGATGTGTCATCCCTTAATATCTTAAGCTGAACCCAGTTTTAACAGGGATGGAAACATACTTTGGTACAACATGGTACCTGAGATTTGCAAAACACAGACAGCAGAATGTCAGGACCATGGATTTTAAGTGACAGAATCACAGTGAGACAGACGTGTGTTTCATGACAGCTGGATAAACAGCGTGATCGGATAGAAAGTCAGGATCCTTAGTCGTGTTCCAATATAATCAGAACTATGGGGATTTATTCTGATGGCATGTTGAGTTACTACTGTTACTTTTTATAGCTGTAATCAGCTATAAAAAGGCTACACCCAGGAGAGGGTGTCTTCAAAAGTTTTCAGTTCTAAGTTCTAAGTTCAGTTCTAAATGATAATGACTCAGGACAGCGGTGGCCAGTGAGGGCTGTAGCTGCTCACCTTCAGGGAGTCCACGAGGTCCTCGACCAGGAAGAGGTGGCTCATCTGCTTCAGGGCTCGGTTGATGTAGGTCAGACTGGCGTCCACGTGCTTGCGGAAGGTCTCTGGGGGGATGCTGACATCCTTATCTATCAGCGTTCTGCAGAGAAGGATGAGAAAGGGAGGGTGAGCACAAAATGAGGCTAAGTGTTCAGGCTCAGTGTGCTCCAATCCACAACCAAGTATTTAAGGAAGAAACCACAACCCGGGGCTTTCATTTCACTTTCACTGCTTTCACATTCAAATAAGAAACATGCTTTGGTACCACACGGCACACACTAACTACAATAATGTTTATCGGGTTGTTAATTAAGATGAATGGCTCAGCTTTTAGCTTTGACATAAAGAGATTTCCTGCTTTCAATTCACACCGGACGCTTTCACCGTATTCAGTTGTTGTCTCTTCTTTAACTGTAACCGTTTTCATTCACTAGTTATTTCCAGTTGCTGCTTCTTTGCCATGTTCAATGCACATATATTTCATATCAAAAGCTTTCAACTGCTCCAAGGGCAAGGTGCTTTAGGTTGACATGGAAGCAGGAAGTGTCATGTTTCGCTGACAGTAGCTTAATAGTGAAAACATGGCAAATCCCAGGAAGGCAGTGTATTTTTACAGTACACCAGAGCCTTACATGAGCCTACAAAGCATAAATAATAGAACATGTTGGCTACAGAGAGCAACAAATAACAAAAATTAGTGACAGTTTACAAGCATAGAAAAGGTTATGACTTATGTAGGATTCAATCCTAAACTGAAGTGGTGTGTATATACAGTCGCCTCATGCTTTCACTTCATTCAGGAGGCAAAAACAGTTTTGAAAATGTTAAGCTCTTAAAATTAATGTGTTTAAAGTTGTCGCTTTTTAGCGATGCCAAATCTATATGGCAGATGTTACTGGTAAAACACACTGGAAGCTAGACGCAAGTGTTGTGTAAGCACTACTGAAGTGAAATGTCACTCAGTCCACACTTGAAGTGAGACATGAGTGTTTCAAGTCATCAGAACAGTAGTACTGACTTTGTTCCATTTGGTCTTACTTGAAGGGGTGCCCCTCGTTAGACTTCTGCACGGCCTGGACCACAGACTTGTAGATGCGGAAGGTGATGGTGACACACAGCAGTGCCAGCAGCAGGTAGGAGACCACGCTGATGACGCTGAAGGCTGCCAGCGACAGCAGCAGCAGCAAGGACAGACCGAACACCAAGCCCGACTTCTTGGGATCTCGCCAGTGGATCAGATCCTTCACTGCAGAGGGATGGAAGGAAAGGAGTGAGATGTTAGTTTGCTTAGACTGGTTTACAATGAATTATCATGAATCCTATCATTTTTTTCCATTTAAAAACAAGGTAAAACTTCAGCACATCCATGAGTTTACCATGTAATGTGGTGTTAAGGGGAGCATTTCATGATTACACTGCTAAAACAATATGAAACAGTTCAATGGAAATGCTTTAAGTTCTGCTTTAGAGGACTTTTTAATCTTGTCACAAATTTTAAAAGAGCTCAAAACAGTCAATTCTAAAATTAAATCAAGCTGATCTCAGACAACAGCCAGCAGGAACAAACAAAGCAGTTTGCTGAAAGGCACTGAATACAGCACAAATTATTACAGAAGTCGTTACTTTAATGGGAAAATATTTGTATTTGCCCTGCCCTGTATCTCTGTATGTCAACCCAAGCCATAAATCTCTGGCATCTGCAGCCAAGGTTAACAGAGGCCGTCGATGCCTGTTCCATATTTGTGTTCATGTCCTGTGAGCAGTCATGCACGCAGAAATGATAGTTTCCTATACGTGGTGGTTATCTAATGCTGAAATGGGCTGGCACTCTCACACTGCCACTCCTTCCTCTTGTGTAAAAATGGTGGAGAAGCCACATGGGCTGATGCTTCAGGGATGGCCCAGACCTCAGTGCTCTAACTAGTTTAACGGGGGCACAGGCTTCACACATCACACAAAAATGAAAACTGATTGTTTTGTCACAAGGGCAACTGCCTTTCCACAGCTAGAGTTGAGCCCTCAGCTAAAACCTCGTAACATCTTTTGCACTACATAAAACAAAGACTTCTGTTGTCTTGGGGAATTTCAGTCACATTTTAGGTCAAGTGAGCCACTACCAGCTCTATTTTGGCTCTAATTAGCCCCTTTGTCCACATGGAATGCAGAGGGAATTTAAATTCCTGTAGCTGTTTCCATTTCCCTGACTGACCTGGGATTTAAAGCAGTGAGAAGTGTACTGTGTAAGACATCTCATCTACAGTAGGAGCATGAGCCTCAAAACTGACCACTCAGAAGAACAGAGCTGAAATGTACAGCCGTACAAGGTGTCATTAAAAACATAACATGGGCTTCATAACTGTATGATCTGTACTGAACTACATTAAATATCAGCTGTAATCAGGGAACTGCTAATACAGTATTATAGGCTACAGCAGGTTGGAGGCCAGTGATTATATTATTGATGCCTGTGCATACAATCTGGTAACCATGACAACTGTATTTTTAGTGCATCTTTAATACAAAATTTTGTAGACAGATGTATCAGTCACTTTATACTGAAAGCAATCAGGCTGGCAGGTGGTTCTAGTCTGTCCTAACACGACTGACCACTAATGTGGCTGAGTGCTAAAGAACAAGCAAGAGGGCACAATCATAACCTATTTGTGGTGTTTGCACCACCCGTGCTCCTACAACCATGCTCCGTCAGAGAATGAACTACTCCACAAAAGGTTTACATTCATTGATCAGTCTTGACGGTACAAATATTTGTCTTCGACCAAATGTCTGGTACTTTGGAGTGCTATCGTGGACTGGTTTTCAACATAGCTTCTTCTGCGATGAATAAATAAGCTTTACTACTCCACTCTCTGCTGTGACGAGGCCTCTACTCACTATAGCTCATCTGTACCCACTTTGTTGACACACAATATATAGGCATTAACTCATACATTCAAATATTAGCTGTGACCAATGTCACATTTAGTGCAGCCACACAGTAAATGCAGGCAAATGTTATTTTGACAACACTGTCACACATCCTTTGTTGTAGTTTTGCATTTAATCTGACATGTGTGTTTCTCTTATATTTTGCAGCTATCTGCTCATTTTGCACATACTGTTTATTAACAGGTTAAGTAATAATTCTCATCAAAGCTAGAGCTGAACCGGTTTACAAGAATGAGAAAAGCAGCAGCAGAAACAGAGCTCTACTGATTCTGTTGAGTGTACAGTCGGACTGCGTGAAAACCTTGTTTTCACCTACCATCTTGGTGAGTCGACAATATTCAGGGAGAAACTGGTTTAAAGCACTTTTAATGACTGATTTTAAAAACTGCACAGTGGTGATGTAATGTAATGTTTTCATCTGACAGCAACAATGAGTGGGGTTTCCTCACCCTGCACCGCAGGGGTGTGTGTGCGTCCTCCCAGCATGCTTTGCTGCCAGTACCCACAGGGAGGCAGCTGGAGCTTGACAACCCTGCTTCATTATCTATCTGTCACCCTAGCTCTGCTGTGCTCAGGTCCCAGTGGCTGCTGAGGCACAGTGGCCTGTTTTCACCGTGGCTGTGTGCTGCTCTTAAAGCTACACACACACACAGCCTGAGAGGAAACAGGCTGCAGTGGGCTGACAGCGTAGGCCTCTAGAACTACAGAGGACAACCACATGTACACTTTGTATGCAATTACATGTGATAAGTCTAACTCATCATGTTCCAATACCGAATTTAGATTTATAGTCGATGCAGAAGGTTAATGAGCCTCACTGTACACTAACTACTTGTGAAATAGGTTTCGAGTTATATCGGCAAGTCACATTTCACCTATCTCGTTGTAGCCCCCCCAGTATGCTCCATTTTTTGAAGTGGCGCATGTCAGTTAGCAGCATAGCCTGTGGTTGTTAGTTGACCTACAAACCACAGGCCTAAACTAATTAGTGTATGTAACCAAAAGAATCATGAATAAGAAAAAAATAAATGATTAACAGCAATGAGATCCTGTTTCAGCAGAATGATCAGCTGTAAGGCTATTCTAAGTAACAAGCCTATTTTTCATTTGACCCCATTACAAATTTTGGCACAAGTTATTGCTTCTGACAAAATGATAACACACAAAAGAAAGAGAGAGAAATAAAACGATCCACATTAGCTTAATGAGCAGCCAAATGGCAAACACTAATACAAGTTCAGTTTGATTCCAGTATTCACATGTGCCTTTCCTCCACATTAACAATCTTCACACAGAGGATTAACACAAATCTGCGAACAAATGTACACTAGAATTAAACTAATCTTTGAAGCCCTGACAACAAGTCTGGTAGTGGAACTGGTCCATAAAGAAAAGCAGAGAAATGCTTTTGCTACCGAGTTGTGGAGCGGTGCTGCAAAGGAGCACCAAAATAGCAAAAGCTCATGGCCAGGGAGGAAGGATTCAACAACACAAGCTCTTCTATAGATGACGACATAAAACAGAGCTTCGTTTTCAGCAGTCATTAATATCCCATTTTGGAAACACGCTTCATAGGGCAATGTACGTAACTGCTTTACAGTGAAGTCAAACTGACATTTATGCTTCTTCTGCACACTTTCCCTTAGTTTCTGGTTGCTACAGCACTACACTCGGTTCTCTGGTGTGTACTCGGCACGTGCAGATGTACCACTGAATGTGTGAGGATTACTGGTTGCATACCAACATTTGTACATGAGGAAAAGGTGAGGGTACTTCAGAACTGGCTTCTGTAACTCAATATGCTTCAGTACTTTGGCCTTACTCTGGTCAACTTTGAATGAACATTAAATAAGTGGTGATGTGTGCAAACAGGTTGGTTTAAAACAGCTCTCATATTCAGGAGACGAGAGGATTGAACAAGCAAAGGCTGACCAGACAGAATACCAAGTTCCCATGGCATCTTGCCTGAAACCTGAGTACATGCCATTGCACCCAACTAACTTGCATACACAAGTGGCCTTTTAATGTACAATTGTGCATCACTTATTATTATTATTTTTTTTAACATGCCTCATTATTATGTTATGGCTTTCATTACGTGCGCTATGGAAAGTCGCATGAAGATAGAAACCTGACACTGGGGACTGACTGTGCTGCGTGACTTCCAAGGTTCTTGCAAGCCAGAACTTAGCCACCATAGTTAAACCCCCACTCTATCTGTGGACCACTGCCGAGCTTTAAAGGACAGAGGGCAGGAGAGGGTTATAAGCTCAAATGGAGTGGTGATCACTAGACCATATGCAGTCCATATAGTGCACTACACAGTGGTTTGGCTGCTATACTCTGACAACCTCTGTTAATACACTGCCAGTAAAATGCCTGACTGTATGTAAATATACTGTATACCTGCCACAATATCCTAAAACCTGGACCAGGGGTAAGCAATATCATATCCAATTATATAATTATTATTATATAATTATCTGAAGTGACATTTAGCATTACATGCAAGCCCAAAGGTGGTTCTCTCCAAAGAGAACAGTCTGTGCCATTTTCATGGTGATCAAGCATTTAGACATTCTGACACGAGAACACCTGCTCGAATTACCCAACCGCTTTTTGACATTTGAGGCTGCACGTGTGATCATGCTCTAATAATCTTTACTATGGGTCACGCTAGTGCATGTCAGATGATAATGAAATGTGCTCATGACAGATTGAATCAACAAAACTGAGTTTTCCAGCAACAATGAGTGATGCGTAAACAGCAAACTCTGGTTCTTCAACCTAAACATTCCAACTAATTATTTATTTTTGGCATTTTAATGATACAACAGATTTTGCATTTGGGAAATGAAATAGGCTTCACACAGCCAACACAACCTGTCGAGAGGCGGGGTCCACCCCAGACAGGTCGCCAGTCTATCACAGGGCTGACATGTAGACAAACAACCACACACACTCACTCCTACAGGCAATTTAGAGTCACCAATCAACCTAAGCTGCATGTCTTTGGACTGTGAGAGGAAGCTGGAGAGAACCCACGCAGGTACAGGGAGAACATGCAGACTCTGCACAGAAATGACCCAGGTCCAATACATTTATAGCCCATGTTATGCAATAGTAGCTTATATTTAATTTAATACATTTAAAAAAAAATCCACTGATTATATCAAAAGTTGTGTATACAGTATGAGAGTAATCCTGAACAATATCTGTAGCAAGTACACACAGCTAAGGTTATCGTAATCCAAGGGTAAACAAAAGCCATGGGTTAACAAGCTAAGGATAACAGCTAATTGCACTAGATCTACTCTGTTACGAAGGGGTCGAGCCCCATGTCCCATGCACAGCTGCTCCCTAGCTCTGCACAACATATAAAAAAGGAAAACCAAGGAGCCAGAAGTGAAATGGTGCCAGTAAGAAAGGGCCTTTGCTGAGGTGACTGCATGAGGTTAGAAGGCCTACTGCCCAAAAGGAAGAGGGGTTACCTGATAAGTGAGTTAGTATTGCTGTCAAGACATGCTCAGCAAGATGATAGGCTTCAGTCACCCATTCGTCAGTGGCTTCTACCTCATTGGAATATGTGCTGTCAAATTTACGGCTGCTTTGGGAACATAGAGGGTTAGGAACTGAGGTAAAGGAAGACTGTGGTACAGATGTAGCCTCATCATGGTCAGGAACCTTCTGATGGAGAGATGCCACCACCTCCTCTTGCTCCTCTAGACTGCTGCCCAGCTCTTTGAGAGCACTGAGAGTAAGCTGTTCTTGTTCAAGATCCATCACCATGGTAGGGGAGGACTGGGAAGGCAGAAAATCAGTTTTACTAAGCTTCGTCTTGGAGGGAACACTTTGGTGCACATCGTCAGGTTCTTTATCCTGCCTTGATTTCAGGCACTCTCGCATGAACTCCACAAAGCTATCTGTAGGCTCAGAAACTGAACCGTCAGGGTCAATGCTTTCTGGGTTGCTTGCTGTGTTATGTGCATGGTGACCTTCTTTAGCGTTCTGCTGGATCTCTGATTCAATTTTTTTTGCTGGGAGCGAGTTTCCATTTCCCATATTATCTGAAACAATATCCATGGTCATTTTCTCTTGCTCACTGATGCTACTTGGTGTCTCGCTCTGGAAATAAGAATACTGTTCTTGAGGATATTCTCTCACAGACGGCTGACCAAATGGCTTGGGGATGGCTTCGTCACAATTCAGGGTAGTGAAGTCATCCAGACTTTGACTGTCCTCTGGAACATTATTTTGTGCAGTGCTTGCATCCAGTGTTTCAATATGGATTTCAGAAGGATCAGAATGAAACTGGTCCTTAGCATTGTTTAGCCCTTTGTTACCAACATCATCCAAGGGGGAGGATACATCATAATCATAATCAAATGACTGTCCATCATATAAGTCACGTTGCATGAAGCTGGTTTGAGAAACAGATGTCTCCATGTAAGCCACTGTCACAGCACTGTTGCTCTTTTCAACCACTGTTGAATGGGTGTGACAAGCTGGTTCTTTGAATACAAGATCAGTCTTGCAAGGCTTGACTAGAACACTTTGTGCTTCATCAGACCACTTGTCATCATTGTCTGGGAAGTCCACCTCTTCATTTTTGACTGTGAAAGAGTATGGTTCATCACTGACTTTACTGAAAGTAGTCTGTGCTTTTTCAGATTGTTGTTGGGAAAAGGTTGAAGCTGAGTCCTTTGAAACTGTTGAACTGTGTAGGACCTCAGGTTTTGCTGTAGCTTCCTGAAGGACCGTCTCTGGAAGAGATTTGAATAGATTATGTTTGGGAGCATATTCATCATCAGAGTCCACAGGGGATGATGGAGGAGAGTAGCCTTCCATGAATTCAATTTCTAAGGGGCGTGTCTTGGATGGTTCATTTTTACTGTCCTCTGGCTCTGGGATATTTGGAGCCTCTCCACACAACTCTTTTACAATCTCATATTCATCTTCTTCCTCTGCTTCAAGCGCCATCTCCTCATCACTGTAATTTGGCTCATCTGTCTCAATAACATTGATTGTTGGAACCTGCATTAGCTTCCTCTCAGACTTTGGCGGAGGGGTCTCCTTTTCCTCAGTGGGAGGAATGGGAGCTGCTGAGGCAGCAGCAGACTCATTTGAAAATGCTGGATCAGAAGATGGAGGGGGAACAGATGCAGGAACTGTGACACCATCTTCAATAACAGTATCGTCTGATTCTCCTGAACTCTCTGCTTCACTTGCCTCTAGATCTCCAGTCCACATGGTCTTCTTGTCATCTAAAACATTTTCTTTAGCATCCGTGTTAAATTGTGGGGAGCCAGGGGGAAAGGAGGAGTCGAATCCTGCAGGAGGTGCAGGTGAGGCTGGAAGCTCTGAATCAAGATTTGCTTGAGCCTGGACATCAGATTTTTCCT